CTATACTATAATTAGATAAAAACTTACCGGGAACATTGTGCATCACACAAACCGTTATATTTTTCGATTTCATCCAAAATTTCATTGTTTCCAGGAAAATTTGAAGTTGTCTAATAATAAAAATAATTTTTWAAAATTATGTTTTATGAAAAAAATAAAAATGATCAGTAAAATAATATTATTTACATTAAAAGCCAATTTTTCAAGAAAATGATTAACACCGCTTGGATATTTTGCTTCATATCGACAACCAGAATTTATTGCCACTAATAAATAATAAAATAATAAGTTTTGGTACAAGAAATATTGTTTTCAGAACATAAGCTAAAAAAATATGTATTTAAAATTTACCTCCAACAGTACAAAATTCTCCATATGCAACTTCCGATGCCACTCTTATCCCACAAGGTAATTGTGTAATGTTTGTTTTAACATCATGAAGTTTATGTTCACTGTATATAACATTTGGCAAGTTTGGTAATGTTTCAGTGAGTGGAGGTTGATTGAAAGAACATATATTCTCAATTTTTGATGAAAATTTACAAGATGTATTCCTAATATTAAAACATTTTATTTAATATACAAATTAAAATTTGTTTTATTATAGGTACATGTTTACAATCTTCTATCACAAATAAAAATCATTTAGGTACCTAGGTATTACACTTAATGATTTTATTAACTACTATGATATCATATATATATATATAATATAGAAATATGTTAGGCTTAACCTGTCTGAAAAAAAATGTACTGGGATGTTTGGTTCATATCTTTTACATGGTAAATTATCCCGGTGTAGGATGATGTGGGATAATTTTAAACTGGTTAAGTCTAGCCAATAATCTCTAGAATATGTACACTAAATGATTAACCAGTTTATACTCCACTAACAATTTCAAAGTCTGCTTCTTTAGTTTTAAGTCAGACTACCATGATTAGAGGTCGGATTTTTATGATTTTACATATTTGTTTCTAGTCTATGCAGTTAAGTGGGAGTGAGAAATCTTTACGATGCATGAAACACAGAATTCATAGGAAACAATTTATTCTGCATAAAGAAGCATATTTTATGGGTTAGAGAATATTTGAGAATATTTTTGTAATATCGGCATATAATGAATATATTTCACGTATATCAGCACTTTGATAAGTATAATGTTCAATAAATAATTCTGTTTATAAATTAATTTCTGGATTTTAATAAAAATTAATCTCCAGGTATTCCTTATCGATTGCGATAGCACGTAGGTTATTTTGTTAGCTAAAATAAATTTGAGCTGAATTTTTTTAATATTAAAAGAATTTTTTGCATATTTAAGGACATAAAACATCAGATATCTGGTATTTTAAAAGAATATTAAGAGAATATATTGCCTAATTTATGCGACATAAAAACATTATATTTTAAGGATTTTAAGAGAATATAAATCCGACCTCTAACCATGATTAACAGTTATTATTTAAATATGATTGAAACCTACAAGTATACTTAATATTATTAACCATAAATAATTGACTAGAAAAACATTGATAAAAGCAATGCATAATTAATAAATTAGAAACACCAACCATTAATACTTAAAAAATATGGACCTTTTACGTTTATTCACTACCAATGACTATATTATGTGTGTTTCAGCACATGTCGCTCCGCTCCTTGTTGACATCRCTTTGCTCCACAAAWCAAAAATATCCCGCGACTTGATGTGCAAATCTACCTCAAGTAGGTAACAGGATACCTACCGACCAATGTTGTACAGCTGCTTGGWCGAGTGCACTGTGAAGTTTGAAGTGGATTTGCATAGCAAGTCAAGGGATATTTTTAATTTGAGGAGCAAGGCGATGGTTCTGACTTCCTGAGGAGCGCAGTTACAAGTGCCGAAACATACGTACACTACGTTTATTGGCAGTGAATATATGGCAGCGGATAACTAATTAACAGAAAACTAAAAAAGTAGTGGTAGTGAACAAACGGAAAAAATCCGAAAATATATATCATTAACAATTATCCCTTAAATCATTAATGTAATATGAAGTTTCAAAAGCTTTATTTTTTTGATATTAGTAATAAAAATATAGTTAAATTTATTAATTTCTCATGTGTAACTATATTTTTTTAAACATTTTACCAATGATCCAAGAAATTTAAAATGAAAGATATTATTCATATTG